GTCCCATCACTGGGCGTTAGAATTGTTTCGATTTTTGTTAAAAAAAAAAAAAAAAAAAGTATTCATTTTGTGTGTACGGTGTGTTGCATGTATGAATATCTGGATACTGCATGTGTGCCTAATGCCCTTGGAGGCCAGAAGAGGGTATCAGGTCCTCTGGAGCGCAAGTTACAGACAGTTGTGAGGCATGAGGGTGCTGGGACTTGAACCTGGGTCCCCCGGAGAAGTGACCGGTGCTCTTAACGGCAAAGCCATCTCCCCAGCCAGTTTCTTCAGTTTTTGCTGCGGTCAGCAATCCTGAAATAACTGTCTTTTCCCCATGGGAATCATGTTACATGTGTGACATTTTCTCTGGAGGATATATCCTTTTGTAATTTTTAAAAACATTATTTTTTTTTTTATGTGTATGGGTATTTTGCCAGTGTGTATGTCTGTGCGCCACATGTATGGCTGGTGCCTACGGAGGCAGAAGAGGGTGGCAAATCCCCTGGAGCCAGAGTTACTAGATGGTAGTGAGCCACCATGTGGGTAGCAGGAATTGAACCCGGGTATTCTAGAAGTGTGGTCAGTGATCTTAACTTCTAGACATCTTTCCAGCCTCTGGTATACATTTTCAAAATGACATGTGTTAGGGCTGATGAGGTGGGTTAGTGGCTAAAGGTGCTTGCCACCAAGACCAACAACCTGGGTTCAATTCCTAGGTCCCATGTGGTAGGTAGGAGAGAGCAAACCCCAGCGAGTGGCCCTTTGGCCTCCGCACATGTGCGCACGCACACACACACACACACACACACACAATTGAAAAGTCAAACAATTCCTCTCTAAACACTTCTGTAGAATTGTACCACTCCTGAGTTTGCCCACTACGTTGGGAAACTTGGTAATTATCTGAGATCGAATGGTAATGCCAGGAATTCCGCTTTTCTCCTCGTCCTTGCAGTTGAATGAGGCCACTGGGCGCCATTTGCTCATTTACTCACTCATTCAATTAACATGTGCTGAGCGCCTGCTATTGGGGCGCTTGCTGGGGGCACATATGTTTCTACCAGGATTAGCCTTAAATTTATTGAACTCGGAGGTTGCACTGATGTTAATTCACTACAAAACCCAGCGCAGATTACTCAATGCTGGGCGAGCCAAACGGGAAGAGGGTTGCAAGAGGGTAGGGAGCGAGCACGGCACTCAGGCTGTCCCCAGAGTCGGAAGGACAGTCGAGGCTGCCTTCTTGACATGGGTGGTAGGCCTGGATACTTCATTCTGGCTCCTTCTACAATGGTAGACATGTTGCTTGTTGTTTGGCTAAAGAGGCACACTCCTATCCTCCTTACCTCTCCAGAGATCAGGGCTGGAGGATTCAAAACAAACAAACAAAATGAAGACTTGGAAGGCCCTCCCTCTTCAGTCAGCCACACCAGACACGCTCTACACACATGCACCTCTCTGTGGAAGAAAGGGGGGCTAGGAATTCTTCGGGGAAGGTTGTACTCTTGTGAAATCTGACTTCAATTTACTGCTTTGGCTTCAAGTCCCAGAGATGGCTATGATGGTGTAAGAAAACAATGAGTACTGCAAGGTCTTGGGAGGGAGCTGGTTTGGCTCTGCACCGGAGTCTTATGTGTGCCCCAGCTGCCTAGGCCAACTTCTCCATACAAGTTCTTGGGGAAGCAGGGCGGAGCGGCGGCAGCACAGTTACGCCTCCTTAGGAAGTGTTCCATGAACCTCAGCAGAGCCAGGTTTAGACGTTTAAAAGCCCTGAAGAGAATTTTTTTGATCGCTGTAAATCTGACACGAGAACAACAGATCAGAAACGTCCTGCGCAGCCTCAGACATAAGCGAGCGCACGGGCTAACAAAGTCTGCGCGCTGGTGTGGGGCGCTGGATCACCGCAGCCTCAGACGACGTCTCCGAAGAGCAAATGCATTTCTGTGCACAGTGCGGAGTGTGTGTGTGTGTGTGGGGGGTGATGGGGTGGAATCCGGACCTTGGCCAGGCAAGACCCACACACTGAGCTATGCCTCTAGCCCAATGGTTAACACCGCTACCCCGTAATACAGTTCCTCATGGTGTGGTGACCCCCAACCATACCAGTATTTTTGTTGCCATTTTGTAATTGTAATTTTGCTACTGTTATGGACCGTAATCTAAGTGTTTGGAAAGAGAGAGGTTTGCCAACAGCATCTCGACCTACTGTTGAGAACTGCTGCTCTGGCCCAAGTAGGTGGTTTTTGTCATTTGGGCTTTTTTGAGGCAGGGTCTTTTGTAGCCCAGGCTAGCTAGGATTTGCTACATAGCCGAGGATAACCTTGAACGTTTGTGGGCTGGAGAAACGGCTTGGTGTCAGAGTGCTTGCTGAGCGTAGGCCAAGCCCTTGGTTCTATCCCCAGCGCAGAAAAGGGTGGGGAACCTCTAATTTTGTAGCCTGTGATAGGCTGGCCTGGGGCAGGAATATGAAAAGGATGCTTTTCAGACACTTAGTATGCCCCATGGACTAAGCTAAACAGCTAGTTGCCCACAAAATCTCCACAGAGACCCAGGAGGTGGGTGCCACCATTGTCCCATACAGAGCTAGGGTTGGGACCCACGTGCCAGGCAAGAGCTCCACCGCTGAGCTACATCCGGGGCCCAAGCAGACTCTCAGCTGAGGGCCATGCCACCCTGCTCAAGCCCTTACAGTGAGGCTGGATTGAGCTTGTCTCAGACTCTAGGAAGGGTGGGTGGCCAGGCCTGGCAGCCTGGGCAGTGTGTGCTTCTAGACAGTGATGAGGTCACACCCACTGCTATCAGGTGGTGGCCGGGGCTCTGGGAAGGAGGCTGCTTCCTGTATCTGGGTTTGTGGCCTCTTAGGCACAGGCAGGGTTGAGGATAGACCACTGCTCAAAGGCGAGCAAGACCCAGAGAGAAGGGTGGTCCCCGAAGTTGAGGCTCTTGGTTTGGCTGAGCTGCACACTGCCTCTATCTAAAACTCGGATTCTTTGAACCAAAACCTGGCACAACTTAGGTACCTGTGACTTACAACCAAAGAGGATCCCTGACAAATGATCCTGTGGTGTGTGCTGAGGCCCCCATCTATGATGGTAAGTGGCCCTGGAAAACGCTGCTCAGAGCCAGCATCAGAGGCAGGGGCTTTCCAAATGGCTGCACATCTGAAAGAGCCTAGACAGAGAGATGAGACCCTCGACTGTCAGGCTCCTGTCCCGGCCAGCTGTAGTTTTCAGCCTGTAGTGAGGCCTAGGGTTCCCATCTCACTTACTTGACAAATGTTCAAAGGAATTCTGATACAATGACCAGCTTAGAAAACAATGTCTAAGAACATTGCTCTGTGAAGTCTAGCTGTAACGGCAGGGCACAGTGTCATACACACCTTTGATCCCAGCATTCTGGGTGCAGAGGCCGGTAGATCTCTATGAATTTGAAGGCAGCCTGGTCTGCATAACAAGTTTCCAGGGCAGAGTTGCATGGGGTGACCCTACATCAGAAAACCAAACCAAACCAAAACAAAACAAAACAAAAAACAAAACAAAACAAAACAAAACAAAAATGGGTCTCTAAAAAAAAATTTAAAAAATAAAATAAAATAAAGAAAACCCCAAAACAAACAAAAAACAAGATAAATTAGCCTGGAATTCCTGGACTTGGGATGGCAACAGAATGCCAGCATGGGGAATACTTTTATGTGGGCTGTTCACGCTTTCTTGGCTGTTGATCACAGGTGAGCGCCACCGTACCTGGCTGGCAACTCGGCCTTAAAGCCCGTGTTCTCTGATGCAGTCCAAATTCTACTTGGACTCTGAACCATGGAAACAGAGATGCTCAATGCAGCTGTGTCTCCAGAGCCAACCGCTCCAGACAACCCCAGCATCGTCAGCTGGGGGAGGAGTCAGTTGGGCACACGACTCTTAAAGGCACATCACTAAGAAATTTTTACCAGCAAGCTCACAAACAATGGAAACTTAGAATGTTGGTGCTATACTCATGAACATACCCTCATTAAAATACATATGTATGCACACAGCTTAACACTGATGTATTGTATAATGTACATATTTATACCATATAATGCCAATTCTTTGTTTAAAAAATACAGGTATGGCTATATCATATATAAACAATTGATGAGAGTTCAGCAAAACTCTAATGGGTTCTAATTTTGTTTTGTTTTGTTTTGAGACAAGACTGATTGGCCTCCAATTTGCTATGTAGCTGAGGGCAACCTTGAACTTCTGAAGCTGCTGCCTCCACATCCCAAGTGCTGGGATTACAGGGGAAGCAGTATTTTTTTGGTACTAACAATTACAAAGCCAAATCTCAGCCACCTCTGCAAAACACTGAAGGCCCTCTACACCCTGCAGCACCAGATGTTCAACTCGAAGATCTCATTTTCATGCAAAGAAAAAAAAAAGCATGCCCATTTCCCTAGTGTGAAAATTCCTTTTTGCCTTTAACAAATACTGCCACTGTATAGAAAGCAAACAATTCTTCTGAAGTAGGCTTCTTCATAGTTTACTATCAGCAAATGTTTGATTTGTGTACCTATTTCATACACCAATATACCCAGGACAGTGTAAAAATTTCCTGGGCCAAATAGGGGTCGCAGGCTAGGTGGTGGTGACGCACGCCTTTGATCCCAGCACTCTGGAGGCAGAGGCAGGCGCGTCTCTGCGAGTTGAGGCTGGTCAGGGCTACACAGAGACTCTGGCTCCCTGCAGTGTTTCTCAGTTTCTGCACATACTCATGTTGGCCAGAGAAACCAGGCAGCGAAGGCTGAAGAGGCCTCGCCGCGTCTAATACCACACGTGGACCAGGGACCCGTCTTTGAGAATGGACGCATCTTTACCTCTGGTCAGTTATCAGGAGTTCGTTGGAAGGTCTCAGAACCCTCTTGGTCATCTATTTGCTTCAGAAAAATGGCATGTTTCCAGGCTGGCCTGCAGTGATTTTTCCCAGAGGCACGCGTTATAAATAGCCTGTCTCGGCGCGGATCTCGTTTGCGTCCTGCCTACCTTCTCCTCCGATGGGTAGAAACCGATCGCTCTCATGACGAAAGGAAGCTCCGACAGGCTGATGTGCTCCGACACTTGCCTGGTGTCCATCGTGTCGATACCTTGACTGCGGATCTGAGAATAGTAAAAATAGTCCTCCAGCTCCTGTGTCAAAGGAAGCAGAGACACACACAGTCCCCCTCAAGTCAGAAGCAGCCACCAAAGGGACACTTTCCAGAAAGTGGATTCTAAGCTTAGTGGGGGAAGGGAGCTCTGTGGAAAAGCAGAGAGGGCTCATCCCCAGTGTTGACTCTACAGCCTAGATGCTCCCCAGGAAGTGTTTACTCTGATGACAATTACCCTGTAGAATTTTCCTTCCCTGCCACCAGACACCAGACCATAGAATGGGGTCAAGTCTTCACCGCCAAGAGAAACGGCTGCGTCCAGGGCACTGGAACAATGGAGAACATCGCTGTTAGGGAGCACTCATGCATGAAGTCGTGGAGCCGCACAGATGGCGGCCTCTGAAGGGCACCCACGGCGCCTGTGCAATCGGGGTCTCCGCAGCTTGCCTCGGAAAGTCCCCGGTGACGAAGCCCATGACAGAAGACTCCATTTCAAATGTGGAGTGCAGCCCCACAGGGCACCCACCTTAACTAAGGCGACATTCTTGTTCTGATAACAGGGCAGGTGCTTGGCAATTTGTCTGCACTCTTCGGGGACCACATCTCTCCTGGGGGCGGGAGGGGGACCTCCAGTCTGAGACCTGAACCCTCTTAAGCTGACGGGTGCTGTGCAGGTGTGCTGCCGGGCTAATTGCCTCCAGAAAAACCCAGGAGATCACAGGGACCCATGCCAAGAGGCTAAAAATAACCCTCCGCTCTCTAACACAGGGTCAGATTCTCCCAAAATAGGCCCTTTGAATGGGAAGAATACCTACTCTTGCATGGGCCCAAACGACTTTTCCTCACACAAAAGGCAAATAACCTAAAGGCACTGTTTAAAATTAAAAAAAAAAAGGCCACTTACTGGATTTCTGCTAATTCTGTGAATTAGAACCCACTTCAGTGAAGGTGCCCACTGAGGAAGTGAAGCAGCCAGAGCCAGGACCAGAACCACAGGGGTGTGACATGAGCCCTGACAGCCGATTGCAAGCTGCGTGACCATGAGAATACCCACCTCTGCGCAGTTTCCTCATCTGCAAAGTAGGTAGGGTCATACAGACTGCCAGAAGAATTAACTAGATGCACACGCATTAAGGATTTGCCACGGGCCTTTTTTCCCCCTTGGGAACCATCCCATCACTCGAGCCGTCAACAGACCCCTTGGAAGCTTATCAACATGGGGCTAAGGGTAACACTTGTTTCCTCACAGGGTGGCTGTGAGGGTGGCATCAAGGTGACTGTGTAAAACGCCCTGGACAGGGCCAAGCCCAGAAGTGCAGCTCTGTTCGTACCAAGGGCTGACGGCACAGACACGTCCTTACCCTTCTCATAAGAGCCACAAAATGTCCTCTGCCCTGCTGCTGGGTCTAGGGGAGGGCCTGGCACATTTGTTCACCACAGGGGCCTGAGGTGCTCTCCTGCAGGGCCTCGTCTTCACCCTACGTCTTAGCTCTGATGGGAGCCTGCAAAGACACGCAATCAGCTAGCCAAAACTTGCCTGACCCTGACTCAGGGGGTAGCAAAGCCACTTTCAGACATGCTGTCATGGAGGAGGGTATTAGGACCAGAAGTGACATGGGAGCCTGTCACCACTAGGGTAAGGCTGCAGATACACTCAGCTCCCTAGGACATCCCAACTTTCTGGGCTTTCAGATGACTTTAGCTTTTGTCAAGCTGGGGTAAAACTAGCCAGCACGCGCATCTGTGTGGTATTCGTGATGAAACCCAGAGCTGCCTGCATGCGAGGCGAGCTCTCTATCAGAGTTGCAGCCTGGGCCCTCTTAGAAAATTGTATTGCTTGCTTGTTTTGGGGCTTTTACATTTCTTTCCATTAGTGAAATGCTGAACATATTAACCAGAAGCAGCAATAAAGTACTAATTAGTTTATAATGATCCTTTGTCCCCACAACAGATTAAATTGAAATTCTCAGAAGCCTGGATTCTAGCCAAAGCATAGGGAAGCCACTGGAAATCCCTACCAGGTCCCACAATGACTGAGGACCAAAAATGAGAGTGGGGACTTCACTGCCCCCCAGCATTGTGTCACTGGCCTCAAAGATTACAGGTGACAAGTGGGTGACACACTGAGCCTGTTAGGGAAATGCTTCTGGGTAGAGAACTAGCTCACTTCCAGTTTCCGAGTTCCCTGATGCTCGCTCCAGACAGCAGAGGCAAAAGACAGAGTTGCAACTACAGTTTTAAAGCCATTGCCACGGCACCAGAAACAGATTTTGCCAGCTATTTTCCCTCAAGTTCAGGGTAAGAAGGAAAGCGTGAACATCTGCCATGAAGAGAAAGATGTGTGCGTGGCAGATGGCAGGGGCAGACTTTCCCGGGAGCCATGAATCAGGCTGCCTTTTGAGGGAGGATGGTAGCTCTGAGGAGCTGCTGTCCGACCCTCGAGCACAAGTGGACAGGGTCACCAGGACACCATCTTGCTGCCCACTCGTCTGCTCTGCCCTGGTGCACTCAGATCACTGCATTTGGATGGATGGGAGGCTCACCTCAAGTGCCTGTCCTATCTCATTCATAAACGCCCTTTTTAGGAAGAAAAGGAAGGAAGGGTACCAGACTTTACAAAGGCCTTAACTCTAGGCTGGTCACCGCATTCACATACGTAAACCTGCCTGGTCCATACAGGACCCTATGAAAGCTGTTACCCCCACTTAACACACAGAATCTAAGGACCAGGGGCATAGGAAGAAACTTCCCAGGTTCCAGAGCAGAGGTTCCGAGCTATACTGAAAGCCAGCCATATCTCTTTGACATGAAAATCCCCATTTTCTTCGATGTACGAGTCTAGAATTTTCCAGCCCTACTTTAAGAACAGGGCAGGGAGGGGTTAAGAAATGCCAAGAGACAACAGATTCTTGACTCGAGCTTACTGTTTCTGTAATGCCTACTTTGGAGACTTGGCCTTGGTCTCTGGCCAGCATGGGTATGAGCAGATACTGAGAAACACTGCAGGGAGCCAGGTGGAGCCAGGGGCACTCTTGCCATCCAGGCTGGAAAAGCAGTGCATGGCCCATGAGACTGCACAGCAGCCTGGGGCCTGCACATTAATGTCAACAGGAAGCGTCCTGAGAGCCAGGTTCTGTTTCGTCCTAGCACAACAGGGGGCGTGTAGCAGGCACTGTCTGCTGTAACTGAGTGAAAAAAAAAAAGGACCTAAAGGCTGGCACGATGGCTCAGTGGTTAAACACGCTTGCACACTTGTGGGTGGCTCACAACCACAAATACTCCAGCTCCAGGGCATCCAATGCCCTCTTCTGGCCTTCTCAGGCACATGCGCGCGCGCGCGCGCGCGCGCGCACACACACACACACACACACACACACACCTTCCTTACGGGGCCAGGACACGGCCCCTCACGTACCTCAGGTTGATTTGCCACTGCACCACTGAGGAATCGTGGCCTCCTGCTGTGAAGGCATAGGTGCCGTCGTAGGAAAGGGCCATCCCCGCCACCCCATTCGGATGGCAAATGATAGCACATGTTTTGTGGGGGTTGCCGTCGATTGGTAAGATCTGGAGTCCAACCTGGAGAGGCAAGAGGGCTTAGACACTCAGACTTGACTACTCTCTGGCTAGCCTGGCACACTCGGGTTTTACCTCCTAGAGACACTTGTGCTACGCGCACACAGCTGGCGCCAACCATCTCAGTCAAGTTTAACGTACAACTCGCTACAACTGATGTGTGGATCATCCATGCAAATTAGTTTTTCCAGGTGAATAAAAAGATAGAAAAGCGACCTATAGAAGGCCGTGAGTTTTCACTGGGGACTTTCGAGAACACAGCTCAGAAATGTCTCCTCGGAGCCCAGGAGATGGCTCAGTGGGTGAAGGCGCCGGCTGCCGAGCCTGACTGGGTTCTACCCCAAGGCCCACATGGCAGAAGGAGAGAAATGACGCCTGGAAGTCCTTTGACTTCCGTATGCACACTGTGCTGCACACAGACACAGAATCAAAACAGAGAGAAAGAAATGCCCTCCGGAAGCCGCTCTTGCTAACCCGTGGCCAATGACCTGCGCAGAGGCAATTCTGTACCCCAGAGGAGCCAAAGACCCATGGGTTTTATAGTCTGCTTTGTTGTTAAATGTATTTGTTTGGGGAGGGACATTGGTGCTTCAATGTGTGTTTGGAAGTCAAAGAACAACTTTCCCAAGTCAGTGTCTCCTCCTCCTGGACCCCAGGGCTCAAACTCGGGTGGTCAGGCGAGGCAGTGAGTGCCTTTGCTGGCTGAGCCATCTCACCAGCCCTGGGCCTCACACTGTTTGGACTCAATGTAGAGTTATTGTGGGGGTGAGGGGGCCGCTACCTTGTCTTTGTTAATGAACACCAAGTAGCGCTTCTGCAGCTCAAGCGTAGATTTTGCTGGGAGCACCTGCGCGTACTCAATAGGAGATCCATAAGCCGGTCCAAGAAGTGTCTTTCTGCAGAGGGGAAAGAAAGAGAGTGTGTAAACTCCATAAACTTCAACGTGTTTTAAAGCTGGAATCGACACCATCATACTTTTGTTGATGTTTGGGGGTTTGCTGAGGCCCAGGCTGGCCTAGCACTCACAGTTGTCCTTGCCCTAGCTTCCTGAGTGCTGGGATGACAGGCACGCACCACCGCCCTGGACTCCTTACGTATCTGTGACCCTGAATTTCCTGTCTTGTCACGCAGCAAACCCCTGTGTACGAGCCTCTCATTCAAGCACTGCCAGCAGCTGCCGAAAGCAAGGGCGCCAGCTCCCACAGCGAATGCTCCAGGGAACTCTGACTGCGAAGAGCTGCTTGGGGCTGACTTCCCTCTCAACATTATGCCCTAAGAAACTGTCTATGAACAGCAGACAAGAAAAATGCCTTCGAGGAAACGGCATGCCTTCAGTGGGATGCGAGCAGAGACCGGATTCCTCCGAGGCAGGCCCACAGGCAGGAATGCGTGAGATGCCTTCCCCTGTTCCAGACAGCTCCAGTACCAGTCTGTGGGACACCATAGGCGCAGCAAGTGGCAATGACGCCAGTCAGGCCTCTTCGACTTTGAAATTTCTTATTGTTCATGTGTGGGGCTGTCTTACTGCACAGGTGGGGGTCAGGAGACATGCTTCCATCATGTGGATCCCAGGATTAACTGCATCTCACTGGCCCCACTGTTTGGTTTGGTTTGGTTTGGTTTGGTTTGGTTTGGTTTAGTTTGGTTTGGTTTGGTTTTGAGACAGCGCTTTTCTTTGTAGCTCTGGCTGTCCTGGACTCACTCTGTAGACCAGACTGGCCTTGAACTCACAGTGACCCGCTTGCCTCTGCCTCCCATGTTCTGGGATTATAGGTGTGCGCCACCACATCCGGCTTTTTTTTTTTTTTTTTTTTTTTTTTTTTACTGGAATGATCTTGGCGTTTTGCCCAGGCTGGCCTCAACCTCCTAGTTCACGAGCACCCCCGGCTTCAGCCTCCTGCCCTGATGGAACTACAGGTGCATGTCACTGTATCCAGCGTGGATTGCTCTAACTCCGGTGGCTTCACCCAACAGGAATCTCCTCTAAGGTGAGGTCCCTTTGATTGGACCCTACGGCACCAGCCCGTGAGAGCACGTCCCCGTGTCAGCATGAGGTGAGGTAGTCAGGAGGCAGAGGTGTGTGTTGTATGGCCCCTGCTACCCAGGCCACAGACCGGCAGGGGCAGGAGACAAAGAGCTGACGTGAGGTGAGAAATGCGGGGCAGCACTGAGCCCCGGGGCGTGCAGTATTCCTGACCGGGGCGGTCGTCTGTGCTCCAGACGATGCATCGGAGACCGAGAGTGTTAACAGCATGGACAGCAGGAGAACTGGGCATCAGGAAGAGGCAGGAGAAGGCAGGGGACATGGATCTAAGTAACGGGAGACATACATGGGGGGTACAGCAAGGGGACACAGGGGAAGGGGCGGTTTTCAAGGTGAGCTTTCTGCTGGGCTGTGTGGGCCTTAGCCATTTGGAACACTACAGTGCCAACGAGGTAGAGAACGTACCACTTAATGCCTTTTCCTGAGGCCCTGACACATGTTGGCAATTGGGCAAAGGCGGGGGAACACGCTGAGAGCCCAGAGACAAGGTACAAAAAGACTGGGACCTTTGTCCCTGGGTGGGGGAGTTGTGGGATGGGGGCAGGGGGCTGTGGAAACAGTCTTAGAGTTACTCAAATGACCCAGAAATGCCAATCCTACAGCCATTCAAGAAACTATATCCTATACCCTACTGTGCATGATCACTACAAAAAACGCAAACGGTGCAAATGTCTATCGCCATCGGCAGAGGCACAGGTGAACAGGACAGGGCCAACCCTCAGCAGTTACAAAGCTGGCTGACTTAACCACTATGCCAGCTGAGACAAAGCACCGTGCCACTTAGGGGCTGAGTCTCAAGAACATGTTAAGTGAAAAACGCCAGACACGAAAAGGTCACGTGTGGTACGGCTCCACCTACAGGAGTATAAAGTTGTCCTCACAGGGGCAGATAGATAAGTCCCGGACAGGAGCAGGTCAGTGGCCTCCAGGGACACAAGGGCAGACTTGAATTAATGGTCCTCTTGTCTTCACCTGAGGTACTAGGAGGTTGGGATGGAACGGAGGACTTTGTACAGGGTAGGCAAACATTCTACACACCGAGCCAGATCCCCAGCCCAGGAGCCATTTACCTTCTGGGTGTGATGGATGCTTTCTTGAACTATGCAACTCAGTGACTAGAGCAAGAAAAAGCACTCAAAACAGTTTCTGGGACGGTGGTCTGTAACTGTCAGCCAGTGACAGTCAACCAACCTGTCGACCAATTTTACAAGTTCCTATATCTTCATTCTGACTGAAAGGTGTTTCATCGTCACTGTTTAAAAAAAAAAAAAAAAAAGCTCAAGACATAACATAGCATAAACATCTGCCTCTTACAGCGCTGCACCCTGTCCCGAGAAAGCCACGGGTAACTGCCTGGTACATATGACTCGCCAAAAATTTACATAGTCATGATTTTCTATGAAGGGAGAATTATACTGTTCATACTTATTTGGCAATTTGCTTCGTTTCTTACCCTGTCTCGGAGGTTCTGCCACGTTACTGCGCAGACAGCTATCTCATTCTTATTCTCCCCTTTGCTAAAAGCGTCATTGTGTGCTGGTCTAAGACGCCACTTAACCAGTGCCCTATTAACAGACATTTGGATGGCTTCCATTTCAAAACATATTTCCAAACAAGAGATCCTTTTACTTATGCCTTGGCATAAGCGCACGGGCGCTTCTGCAGGCTCCATTCCTAGAAGTCAGAGGATATAAAATTTAACAGAGGGTGACAAATTGCTTTCCCCAAAGGTTACGCCAATTTACACCCCCAACGGCGGTTGGACAAGAGAGCCCGTTTCCTCACACCCTTGCCAGCGCTCGGCACTGTCAGTCACTTTTATCTTTACTAATCCCATTTGTAAAAAAAAAAAAATGATGTCTTGCTCTCGTCTGCATCACGGAGAGAGGCTGCCGAGCATCTGTTCCCTCGGATGCCGGCCTTCTTCTGGGAGCTGCCTTTCCCTGTTCTTTCAAACACTTTAAAACACATTTTACAGTTCCTTTAGATCCATCTCAAGAAGGCAGCTCCTCCCCCAACTGAACTGTGGTTACTGGACTTGTTAGCTCTCTAACTTGGGGGACGGCTGAAGCAAGGGGCTCTTGTTTTGGAAGAAGAGGAATGTTCTGGAACTGGAGGAGGAGGAGGTCACGGTTCTACAGTGTCATACATGCTCTTCCTACAAACGCTTTATGAATTTGACCTCCAACCTTGCCACATTATTTTCTATGCTTGAGTTTAGCCAAGATGCTGTATTTATTTTATTACAGTGTACTGTAGGCTCCAGGATAACACTTCATTCTAGCTGTAGGTGGCAGAGATGCTATGGCATGGGATCCAGATGTTGAAATAGGAAGGGAAGGGGGGTCACCATCACCTTAGATATGAGGAACAGCTTACTTTTTGTCAGATTTCTTAATTCCACCTGTGGCCAGGGGCCCCTTCCCCGCGGCCTCGGCCTTTAGCTCTTCTTTCTGTTTCTGCTTGAACGCCTTATCTTCTCGTCCATCTCCTTGGCCTGCTCCTCGGGCTGTCTCAGGGGCTTCTTTTTGCCGCCTTCGCTGCTGGACATGATGCCGACAGCCCCTTCACCAGTCCCTCGATAGTAATTGTTTTTAATTTTGCTTTCTGTTACTGTGTATGGTGGGTTCGGGGGGTGGTCAGAGGACACTCAGGGGCCAGTTCTCCATGGTCAGGCTCCTACGAGCAAGTACTCGTTAACCTGAGGAGCCGCCGCTTCTAGCCTTGTACACTATTCTCTTTTTAGTAGATTTATTTTATTTCATTTAAATGATTCACTTGCTTTTATTTTATGTGCATTGGTGTTTAGCCTACATGTATGGCTGTGTCAGGTCACCTGAAACCGGAGTTACAGACAGTTGAGCTGCCGTGCAGGTGCTGGGAATTGAACCCAGGTACTCTGGAAAAGCAACCCGCGCTCTTAGCCACTGAGCCATCTCTCCAACTCTGTACACTATTTTCTTGAAAGGTGCTCTGAGCTAACTTTGGATGGATGATCAATAGGCAGAAACATGAGTGCGGGCACACAGCGCGTACACACGCACATGCACACCGAGGCACAAGCAGCCCCACAGCAGCCGCTGTCTGTCGTAGATGGTTAATAACTGTTAGCAGGAGCATCGAGCCTGAGGCATGCTGCGCCTGCATCTCCTACCCTGCGAATTCAATTTCTTTGCTCAGAAGTGTGTGTCCATTAAAGAGGGAGCGTGAAGAGCTTCCTGAACCTCAAGGATTTTAAACACCGTGCCAGACTCTACTTCGTGTCACAAGACACAAGGGCTCTGTCATTTTTCCTCCTGCCTTCTGGAAAAGAACTGTTGCTGGTTTTCGGGGAGTGGGCAGGAGTGATGGTTCATGCTTGTAATCCCAGCGCTTGAGAGGTTGAGGCAGGAGGCTTGCTGTTTAAAGTCAGCCTGGCCTACAGAATGAGACAGTGTCCCAAACAGAAAAACAAGCAACACTAAAACAACCGGGAAGAGAGCCTGGGGTCCCTGGGGCTTTGGAAACCTCATCTGAGCTGTACTCCGTCATGGCCAGGCATGATGGTGCACGCCTGTATCCACAACACTGGGCAGACTGGACTCCATAGCAAGACCCCGTCTCAGAAACAGACTAAAGCCACCCAAGAAATTAAAACTCTGATCTCGCTCCGGCAGCCTAAGCACACTGCTGCTTCCACCTCCACATCTTTCTAGCCACATTCACTGCACCCAATCACTGGAAGAGAGGCTCCCTCCCCGAGGGACTGACTGGGTCAGACCCTCTGTGCAGTCCCTAGTAGAGGGCAGAATCAGAGCAAGAGCTGAGGGTTGACTCTTGGCCTGCCTGCCTGTCTTGGTTCCCCGGAAACCACGAAAGGCTCCCCAAACCTTGGAAGGCTGTGGGCAGCTGAGGACAAAGTGGTTGGGTTGCAGGGACCATTGTCCGTGACCAAAGTGAGGGAAACCTGAGGCCCGCAGGTCCTAGAACTTATGTCCCCCCGCCCCCGACAAAAGGCCACGTCTGCAGGGAGGAAGGTGATCCCCTCACATACATGTGGCCCTGGAAGCCCAGGCTGTGGTCTGCAACCCCCACTCCTCTTTCCCTCCGGTCTCCTGCCTCACAGCTCAGCATCCTCTGCTAAACTCAACCTCCACACACGAATCAGGAGTGTAACTCAGGTGCTCTCACCTGCAGTAGGATCTCAACTTGCCTTGTCCAAGGATAGATCTCAAATCTCTCCTTCCCCACCGTTCCCATCTCATTCGAGGTCAGTTCCATTCTTTCTGGCTACTTGGGTCTCAGTTGTCAAGGCGTGTGGGGCTCCCCCAGCCCATCCGCCCTCAGGAACTCCCTCTCCACATCTGTCCTTCCAGTCATTGTGCCCACCATTGTCGCCCCACCTACGCACAAGCAGGCTGCCCCCTTTACTGGAGTGCTTTGCTTGTGCCTACTTCCACCACCGGTCTGCTGGCGGTTGGTCTGTGCTATGTATTTTAAGGCTAATTGCTGGTCTCCAAGATCTGGTTGAGGCCCAGATGAGTGTATTCTCGTGTACACAAGGGATGTTGTGTAAACTTTGCCAGCCAATATTCTCTGACTCATTAAACAAGGTAGCTGACAGCCTATAGCTGGGCAAAAGAGAAGTAGGCGGAGCTTAGGTTCCTGGGCTTGGGGACAGATGGGGCCACGAGGGGGAGAGGGAGAAGTAAGGAAGTCACCATGGGGCATATGGACCATGAGCATGTGGCAGTGAAAGCTGGCCTGACAGGACAGAAGCAGCCCAGGCAGGAACAGTTATGGCAGGTAACAGGGTGTGAAGCTAGGGAACAGCAAAAAAGCTTAGAGGGTTGATACCTGCCCAGTTAGGGTGCCTTAAAGCTTTTATAGTTCCAAGAGGATTCTGTCTCGATTACTTGGGACCTAGCGGGGGTAGCTAGAAGCCCTCTAGACTGTCACACCCATTCCACCGCACCTGGCCCGTGTAAGGAGCGAATCAATGAGTGTGATCCGCCGGCCTCACACTCCTTTGAGAAGCAGCAGAGAAAGAACCAGACGTGCCGGACGTGGTGGCACACACCGTACCCCAGGTTTCGGGAAGCGGACTACAGTGCGAGACCCTCTCTCAAAATGAAATCAGGATGGCAACAACAACAAAATCAAACAACTGGGGCTCGAGAGCTGGCTCAGCAGTTAGGAGCACTGCCTGCTCTTCCAGAGGTCCTGAGTTCAATTCCCAGCACCCACATGGTGGCTCACGACTATCTACACTGGGAGCTGATGTTCTCTGCTGGCACGCAGGCATAGATGTACATGCAGAGAGAGTAGACAGAGCACTCATATGCATAAAATAAATAAATACTAGCTTTAAAAATTTTTGTAAATCAAACAGTTGTTCTTCAGACCCATGAGCACCAAGCTCTGGGTCCCTTGCCTCCCTGGCACCCGGCTTCTAGGGAGGCCCCCAGGGTGGCACCCTTCTGCAGGCCCGGCCTGGCTGTGTGCTCTTCGGTGAATGTGACTACATTATCTACGAGCCAGTGCCTCCCTCTGGGAAGGGGAAGGGATGATGCCACCAGCAAGCTGTCAGCGGCTGGGGGCCCGAGAGCGGGGGGCAGGGAAGGCAGCCAGCCTACCAGGGGGATGCCGCGGCGCTCACCTGCACATTTTCGTGGTGGAGTTGAAAAGCTTCACTTTGTAGCCGCTGTTGCAGATGAGCAGGAAGAGCTCCTTGGTGAGCGGGGGGTACCAGATCATGCAGGTGGGGTAGCTGCCCTGGTCTGTTCGGTGAATGTCCAGGACCTCCAGGTGGTCTCTGTAGCTCTTGGTGAGGTTGTACTCTATCTGCAGGGGACACAGGGACATGCGGGAACCCAGCTGCAGGACGGCCTTGACTGGGAAGCTTCGAGCCCTGGCTGTCAGCCTGCACTGAAACTGGCTGGGTCTCTAAGGGACAGTCCCTGGCTCCACGCCCGTGTGCTGCCTTCGCTGAGCACCCACAGTCAGCAGGGCAGTGGGCTCAGCGCTCTAAACCATCGTGCTCATGGACCCCAAGTCCCAGTAGTGCCATGTCTCATGGACATACAGGCCCACGAGCGGGTGTCAGAGACATTCAGGGTGACCTGCACAGGGATACATAACCAGGAAGTGGTAGAGCAAAACAAGTCTAGGCTGGGTGGTGGTGCACACCGTTAGTCCCAGCGCTCAGGAGGCAGAGGCAGGCGGATCTCTGTGAGTTCAAGGCCAGCCTGGTCTACAGAGGCGGTCCAGGACAACCAGGGCTACACAGAGAAACCCTCCTGAAAAAACAAAAACAAAAAAACTCAAGTCTAAGCCCAACCAACCCCAAACCTGAACTCTGACAATTAACTAACCTCTGCTGCACACCTTTCTGTTATCTTAGGAACACATTCAAACCTAAATCTCAGAACTTGATGGTCTCAGGTTAGTGGCCTGCTCAAATGGGCCTGAGGGTACAGACGAAATAAAGGGAAGAAGGCAGGCACATGAGTGGGCAAGCAGGCCTGGGCTGTAGGAGAAAGTAGCTGAGCAAGCCACGAGAAACAATCTAGTAAGCAGAAACCCTCCGAAGTCTCTGCTTCAGTTCCTGTCTCCAAGAGCTTGTCCTGAGCTCCTGCCTCTGGTTGCCTGACCGATGAACTGTAAGCTATAAGCCAAGTAAACACTCTTCTCCCCAGGTTAGCTTTGGTCAGTGCTTTATCACAGCAAAGAAGAGTGAACCTGGACACCTAGCTGTGTCCTCCCTCCTCCACCCTGACCCTGCCACTACACCTGCATTCCATTTTCCCAAATAAGTCACAGTCTCACCCTTCCCTGAAGGTGCTGAAGGGGTCTTAGTGTTAGCGTCCCCAGTTCTCTGGGAGGTGAAGATAGCTGCACGGTCTGCGCTCTGTGGGACACACCCTCCCTGCTGCCCACCTGCCAGAACCCCCGATTCCAGACATGACACATGAGGAGGCATCACCTCAGAGATGCCAATATGGAGAAATCTGTGGTGATCTACAAGACGGCCATTTTCTCCATGTTATAGCTGGGGACTATACAAGTGCCAGGGATGGAACGGGGGGTGGGGGGGACATGGTGCTGGTGATCAACCAGGCAACCCAAACTGAACAGCTCACCAAGAACCTGTCCTTCCCGAGGCTCAGCAGCCTGGGATCGTTGCTGTCCAGGTGAACCCCGAACAGGAGGCTTCGGATGTTGCTTTGGTGAGAGCGAAGTCTTGCCAAATATTCCCAGATCCTCTGTCCATTTTTGACCACCACTATATACACGGCCACGGTGAAACTGATGTCCTAAGGGAGCAAGTGTGGAAGTGTGGAAGTTGTTCCCTTAATCCTAGGACCTGGAATCACCTTGGCGGTTTTCACACTCATTTGCCCTCAGAATATGTTATCCAGAGAAACCGTGGTGCGGCAGAACAAGCAGGGAAAGCAGTGCCCGAGCTGCAGACGGGGAGGCTGAGGCTTCCGGTGCGTAGACGAGGGTGGAAGGGGAGGAAGCACAATGTGACACCAGCCCCACTCTTCCCATGTTCTTACAGTTCCCCACGGCAAGCCGAGAGCCTGAGTCTTTTTGCCTTTGTCCTCCCTATTCTTTGCCTGACTATAGAAAAGAAAAAGGTCTGGAACAGGCCAGAGTGGCAGAGAGCAGTCTGTGGGGCGGGGGGTGTGCTGGTGTCCACGCTGCATGCCAGGACAGCTCCAATCCTTACCAGAGGCTCGGCTGCATGTGGGTGGAAATCCAAAGGGAAGCAGTCCAAGGACGCCTTTTCTCACCCCACCTACGACCGCCCCTACCATCAGAGTTCCATCACCCCATCACCACCACCATCACACCAGCCTACCGCCCCCCACCATGACCTCTACCAACACCTGAGAGAAAGGCAGATCAGGGGACAGCCCAGAACCCCTTCCCTGAGATCACAGGCCCTAGTCACAGAGGGAAGGAACAGCGTCCAAGAGCCCAAAGAAGGACGCTGACATCTGTGAGGCGTCTGCCCCGTCAAGACAGTAAGGGTGAAGGATAGGATGGGCAGACAGGGTCCTTGGAGCACAACGGCCAGCGCTGGGGCTGCAGAACCGGGTCTGGGTGTGCTGAGGCCCCACTCCTGCCTGCAAGTCCTGCCTGCAAGTCCTTCTGCCTCACCAACCTTTCCCTTTCCTTTCGGGCCGCAGCTTGGCTGGGATGTAACCCCCACTTTCCCCCCTGTTCGTAAGGAAGAGCCCTGAGCGGAAGGAGGTACTCACAGCAGTCGCCATGTAGTTGGAGTCATGTGAGAAGCTGACATGGGTCACGCTGGTTCTGGAATATTTGAAGGGTTCTGAGCTTTCATTTTCTAAAGACATCGCATCAAGAATATATACTGTCCCTTCAGTGAATCCAGCTCCAAGCAGAACTCCTGAAATGACACGCCAGAGAGCGGTGACGGAAAGAAGGATGTCCTTCATTCTAGAAGTGACTGTGCAGCAAGGTTTTGCTCAGGAGCAATACGCACAAGCAGAACAGGAAGCAGACGCCTTGGGAAGCAAGCTGAGGGAGAGCTTGTGCAAGGCCGGGGAAAAGGGCATAGCCCCTATGATCTTGGGAGAGGGCGAGTACCTTCTGGGTTGTAGGCCAGGCTCTGGACGCCGAGCCCCTTCTCGAAGACCCTGCTGAACAGGTAGACCTTCTTTTTGTAGTCCCACACCTTGATCATCCCACAGACACTCCCAATGGCAATGAGGGGTTGGTATGGGTGGCAGGACAGGGCATAAATGGCGTCCTTGGGCTCCACAAAGAGCTTCTCGAGTTTGGTGCCGTCTGCTGTCAAGTGGTACACAGTGGCATCAAGTGTCCCGATGATAATGTTCCTGTTTGCCAAGGGGAAACCCAACAGGATCAGTGTTCTTGGGGAATGGCCACACCAGCCACTCTGCTTCTTTCTAATTGCACACGAACCGCTTTTGTCGTCTATAATTTGGTGACATTATTAACCCGACATCTCCAAAAATATACCAGCAACATCCAACAGCCTCCATTTGCAAGTGAAAAAAAGCCCACTTCTCCGCATGTAAATTGAGTCATTAAGTATGCAGATGGACAGTCAGTGGTACAATTAGCTAATCTACGCATGCAAATATTCATTTGTGTATGCAAATATGGAGTTGGGTACACACATACAGACGTGCCTGTAAAGACCGCAAGGGTAATTAAGCAGACTCACAGATAATTCAGTCTTGAAATGTTATGGCTATTCATTACCCAGTGCCTTTAACCTCAGTGGTTAGGACAAGCTCAGTGCTAAGCCCACAGCCAAGAACTCCAGGCAGGGTGGGGAGGAGAACTCAGGGGTAAAGGCCATCCCACTTCAGTCACCCCAGCTTCTAAATAGTAAAAAACAAACAAACAAAAAAAAAATCCAATACTAATTGCAACCAGCCAAGGAGCCATCTCTCAGCTAAGAAGCTGAGTCCCCTCAGGCCTCTATCCTAGGAACGAGGGCGTGGCTCGAGGACTGAAAAGGAGACAGCGGTCATTTTTCGGCCGTGCAGATGACCAGATTCATTTGCCGACTCACCTGATAATGAACGGGTCGCCTTTTAGAGTGCAGTCTGTGGGGAGGATGGACTTCTCTGTGGGAGGCCCCGCCCGGGTCTTTGAGAAGGACAGAATCCCGATAGGGCCCAGTTTGAGGTTGCTGTACCAGTTGACCACGGACAGGTTGAAATCGTAGAACTTAATGTTACCCTTGACGTCACCTATGACGATGTAGCTGAAACAGAGAGAAGCCCGGGGCAGCTGAACAGCACTGACGGCGAGGGCCAGCTGCGGAGTGCGCACTGTTCAGCAGCCTCCAATCGGGTGGCGCTCACTACTACTCCGATTTACCCCTGCATCTCCAAGGCGAAAGAGAAGTTCCGAAACTCGCTTAAAACCTAATCCCAGCGCACACCTTTAGTCCCAGCACTCGAGGCAGAGGCAGACAGGTCTCTGAGTTCGAGGCCAGCCTGGTCTACACAGGGAGTTCCAGGACTTCTGCTATAAGTATATAACAAATACCACTCACACCTATCTGGGCTCCACGGCTAGAGCATACAGGAGCCCAGTGTGTAGAAAGCAAATGGCAGGTTCTCTCAAACACTCACCCTTCTGCCTCCACGGTCAGCCCCTCACCACGGTGGCTACCGTATGACCACAGGTGACCACAGAGAGCCACTGAACAGCCCTCCCACGTCACACAGGCTGTACAGTGGGTCATGATCTGTTCTACAGGAAGCCACTGCTGTTAGAATCCTTATAAAGCCACATCCAGTCACCACAGGCAACCGGTAGCACCCAGTGACAAAACAGCTTTTATAGCCAGTCCTCCAATCCATCCCGAGAGAGCTTTTATTTTATTTTATTTTTTTAATACTTTAAAAAAAAATTCTAATCACCGGAGGAGAAAGAGTGAATTTTCTCAGATGTAATGCAGGGTGATTAAATGAGTGGCCTGATTAATAAGCGAGGCAGGTGGGCCGAGTAATTGGCTAGGACTGCCCTTACCGCCCTCTGCCGGGCAGAAGCGGCGAAGCTCGCCCAGCGTTTGTGGAGCCTGGTCTTCAAAGGCTCTAGGCCCCAGCTGACTCAAAGCCAAAGGCAGCGTTATGGGCTACCACAGCTTCTCACGCCTCTGAGGTGACAGCTCAGATCTCTTCGTAAAGGCGCCCCGGGATGCTGTCCGGAGCCCCTGTACCAACTGATGCGGATGAAAACTGCCACCTAAGCCAGTTTTCTCTCCTCCCTCCTTCACGGGGAACCTGGGATGGCACGAAAGCCATCAGGTTTTCATGACAAGTGCTTTTACTCAAACCCAAGAACTGCAAATTTTACTACCACAGGAATGCTGGGGATGGAAGAATGTGAACTAAAGGAATGATAGCCCTTGGAAGGGTGAGACAGGAATGCACAATACAGCCAGGCGGGGCTCCATAGTGAGACCCGGTCTCAAGAAGCCAGGCAGACAAAAAGGGCCGATACGGTTGAATGTGTAAATGCTATTTTGCAACTAAAATGGTAAAATTACCTGAGTTATCTTTTTAAAATTTATTTTAGATTAAAAAATATGTGTGTGCATGATGAGTGTTTTGCCTGCGTGTGTGTGTGTGTGTGTGTGTGTGTGTGTGTGTGTGTGTGTATACCATATGCATGCCTGGTGCCTCAGAGGTCAGGGTATTAGATCCCCTGGAAATGAAGTTATGGATGGTTGTAAACTACCATGTGGGTGCTAAGAACTGAATTCCGGTCTTTGCAAGCGCAGCAAGTGTTCTTAACAGCTGAGCCACCTCTCCAGCCTCTTGAGTGTATTTTGGTTTTGGTTTTGGTTTTGGTTTTTTTTTTTTTTTTTTTTTCAGTATAAAATTTTGGGGGTATGAAATAGGTTTCAGTAGCACAGAAGAAAAAAAGTCACTTTTGTTTCACTAAAACTGAATTTTTAAGCACGGGGTATGTCCACGAGTTTTTTTAAGTCAGGCATGGTGGTCGTGCCTTTAATTCCAGCACTCAGGAGTCAGAGGCAGAGGGAGGAAGATCTCTGTGAGTTCCAGGATAACCTGGTCTACAGAATGAACTCCAAGCTAGTCAGGGCTACTCAGTGAGATCCTGTCAAAACAAACAAACAAGCAAACAAACAACAACAACAACAACAACAAAAACGAAATAAAATTTAGTTTGTGCAAATAAGAGTGTAAGAATAAAGAACCCACTCCTATCTTAACCCTCACAGTGCTCAGTTCTTCTGCCGAGAGGCAGCTAATGCCCCTGGTTAATTACAACTCTCCCAGAAATACTCTACGTATCTGTGACTATTCACACAAAAGCAGTCTAACAGAACCTCAGGCACTAAGAAGGCTAAGGAAAAGAACCTTCCCGAGGAGGAACCCTCACTGGCTATCCAGCACCGGCTGATCAGCCCTGAAATCTTGTAACATACAAGCAGCGATATACAGACTGCGGGTTGCAGCTATACATTTAGGAATATATATATTATAAAATATGTAACAACAACTAAAACAAAACAAAAAAAAAAAAAAAAGAGGCCATGAATCTGAGGCAGGGCAAGGGGGATTCAGGAAACGGATTAGGGGAAGAAAACAATGTAATTATATTTTTATTTCAGTGTATTTACTCTCAATGACAGAAGTCTACAGTACATTTGTGATCACACCAGGGTCCTCTCTAGTCAGGCTCATTACCTGTCGACTGAGGTGAGCACGGTGATGCCCTCCTTCTGTAAGTGGACCAGTTTACACGGCTTGATGAAAGGTAAGGCCAGAGTGGAGGAGGACGCCGGCGGGTGGTGGATGTCCCAGACAACCAGCTTCCCTTCCTTCGTTGCCGACAGTATTTGGGACAAATTCGAGTGAAAGATAGACTGGCTAAATTTCCCCACGAGTTTGTTGAATGTCTGTGTTTCAAAGACGGGATGTAAGTTACAGTCAGTAATAATAAAAAAGAGAGCCAAACGTGTATCAGCGCAGCATTTTATAACATTCGGGGGAAAAACAATGAGACGTAAAGAAAGAAAAGGAAATGGCTGAAAACACACAGGTAAAACCCAGGTGAATCGCTCCTGACCCTCCACGGACTCAGCAAGGCTCATGTACTGTGACCAATTACACTGTTTAAACCACTAATTTACTTTTATTTCATGGCCTTGGTGTTTTGGCTGCCTGTATGTCTGTGTGAGGGTGTGAGCCGCAGACAGTTTTGAGCTGCCCATGTGGATGCTGGGAATTGAACCTGGATCCTCTGGAAGAGCAGCTCTTAACCGTTGAGTCCCCATAATTACACTATTTAACACAACCAAAAGAGTGGCTAATTACTGCTTACACCTGTCCAGCTTCTCTCTTAGTGTTTCAAACCTGTAGTCTGTCATGAGCAGAAGCATGCTGGAGGTGAAAACTTAAATTATCCTGATATCCTTTGATAGTAAGGTATTATCCTATCAGAAAAAATTATTTCAGCCCTTAACATAAGAACGCTTTGGTAAGACCCCTTCTTCAGTGTATGCTTTGTGAAGTAAATAAGGCCTTTGGCCATTTTCTCACACAATGTTTCGGAATCAAAACACGAAGAGGACTGGAGAAGGCTGAGCGAGAAAGCGCGCATGCCGCTCTTCCAGAGACCGAGTGCGGTTCCCAGCACCCATGTTAGGCAGCTTATAACTATGTGGTTAAAGCTCTGGGAAATCTGGTACTGCTGGCCTCCAAGGGCGCCAGCACTCACAGGCACATAACCTCCTGCACACACACAGAGAGAGACAGAGACAGAGAGACACAGAGAGAAAATTTTAAAAGGAAGGAAACTCGGCAGTCTCCCACCTAACACAGCAAACCTTATGCTGCCCTTCTGCAAGAAGATCCCAGTGTTAGGTCCCAGGTAGGGTTTCTACTGCTGTGATGAAACACCATGACCAAAAGCAATGTGAGGAGGAAAGGGTTTATTCCGCTTCGACAGCACAGGCCATCACTGAAGGAAGTCAGGACAGAAACTCAAGCAGGGCCGGGACCTGATGCAGAGGCCGTGGAGGGGTGCTGCTCACTGCCTCGCCTCCCATGGCTTGCTCAGCCTGCTTCTTTTTTTTTCTGTTTTGTTTTTCATGATGGGGTTTTCTCTGTGTAGCTCTGACTCTGTCTGTCCTGGAACTCACTCTGTGAACCAGGCTAGCTCGAGCTCAAATTCACAGAGAACCACCTGCCTCTGCCTCCCAAGTGCTGGGATTAAAGGCATGCACCAACTCCTGCCACCATCAGTTCAGGGATGGTGCCACCCACAATGGGCAGGGCACCCCCCCACAACAATCACTGATTGAGAAAATGGCGTAGTAATTGACAAAACCGGAGGCATTGTCTCAGTTGAGGTTCCCTCCTTTCAGATGACTGTAGCTTGTGTCAAGATGACATGAAAGTAGCCAGAACAGTTTGGCTCTGAAGCTGAACACTAAAGGACCCAGAGGGTCGAGAGGGAGTGACGTGTTCTCAGGGAAGGCCTGTTCCCATGTGAGGCGTTTTACCATTGCAGACTGTAATCCCTGTCTGCTCCTGGCAGATTTGTGTCTGCTGCGTTCCCCTGCTTGCCTTCTGCAGCCTGGAACTCCCTTGGTCACTGTGGACTCCCATGGTCATCTGTGGACACGTGGCTGTGTAGACTGGCTAGAGCTCCTACCTGGCTGACATGAGGCTCTCTGACTGAGATCGGGCAAGATGATGTTTTGCCTCCTTATTTCATCTCACATTGTAAGCAAGTGCCTGTGGCCTCTTCAGCTTGTTTTGGAGGTGATTTCGGTATTTGAACGTAAGAAGCCCCCTCCCAGTGCAAAAGTGCTGTCTGTTTTCAGCCATAGCGCTGGTGGCACCTGACTCGTGGAGGAAATAGTGTTTACAGGATGAGAGCCCCAGTAATGAAGTCACACATTCAACTCAAAGTACTGCTCCAGACCAGGCTCAATCAGAGGAGAGGGGAAGTAAATCAAAGATAGCCTCTTCTCCCTCCCTCAGGCTCCTTTCTTCCTCCTTTTCCCTTCCCCTCTCCTTGCTCTTTCCCTCCCTCCCTTCTTCCCTCCTCTATCTCCCTGCTCTCTCTCTCCCCCTCTCTCTCCTTCTCTTTCTTCCTCTCCCTCCCTTTCTCCCCTCCCTCTTTCTCCTCTCTGCCTCCCTTTCTCTCCCCATCTCTCTCCTCCCTTTCTCCTTCTCTCTCTTCTTCTCTTCCTCCCTCTCTTTCTCTCTCCCCCCTCTCTGAGACAAGGTTTCTTGTAGACCAGGCTGGCCTTGAATCTCAACAGCCTGGAACCCGTGATCCTTCTGTCTCTCTACCTCCCTTGTCCAGGGGATTGCAGACATCTGCCATCACATGCAGCTCATGAATCGCTGGGGATTGAGCCCAGAGCATGGTGAGCATGGCGGACAGGCAGTGTGTCAGCTGAGCTGTGTCCTGAGCTCTCAATGTTGGTGGGGTTTTTGTTTAGTTTTGTTTGAGATGCTGTGTAGCCCTGGCTGGCCTGAACTCACTCGGTAGACCAGGCTGGCCTCAAATGCAAAGATCCACCTGCCTCTGTCTCCCAGGTGCTGGGGCTAACATCGAGTAGACCGTCACACCTGGTCCTCAGTTTTACATCTACAAAATTTCTTTGAAGCAGAAGCGTAAGTCAAACATGGCCACAGCTTACAGGAACCAACGTCTACACTCCCCTCAGGAGCAATGGCTCACTGTTTCCTAAGTCATTGTTCACAGAAACTGTAAGAAATGGCAGGCAGGAGCCGTGACCATTAACCATACCTCTTATATTTTCATTCACAAAAACAAAGTCTGCAGACAGGCACAATAAGCTTTTCTAAGGAGTGTTTGTTTGTCTGGTTGGTCCTGGGGATCGAACCCAGGAAAAATCATCTTTCCTTGTGTCCACGCATCTCGTCTTTACTTAGCTAGTTAGTTTTTGCTTTAGCGTGCCCTCTGTCATACTTAACTCTGTAGAGCAGGCTGGTCTTGAACTCAGATATTCACCTGCCCCTGCCTCTTGAGAGCTGGGACTAAAGCTGCACACTGCCACCACCCGGCTGCACAGCTTTTCCATAACATTTTATTTTCACAAAACATCTGTTATTTTTAGCTGAAAATTTGTCATGGATAAAGGATCCAAGCAAAAATGTCAAATTATTTCCCAGTGGCTTCACATTGAGATGTGGCCCACGACCACGGAGCCTGCACATCTGTATTTACCCTCAGCAGAGTCTGGCATATGAAAACATAACGTGAGTACTCACTTTCTCTGTTAAAATCGGGGCACTGTGGGCAAGGATGCCCTTCTCTTCAAGCTGAAAAGCACAGAAAAAGAACATTACTATTTAAAGACCAAGCTGCCAACAAGAAGCACTGTAGTGCTAGCTAAACCAGAGCAAGTGTGCCCAAATCGGGTCGGAGGGTTCAGGTCCTGGAGGAGGAAGACCTGTTTCTGGGAATATCTAAAAGCATCTGAAAAGAAACACAAACCTGTTCAAAACCCAGGCGTGACTGTGCCTCCGTGTGGTGGGCGGCTAACGCAAAGCCGAGTTCTTTAAATCGAAAATAAACACCGGAAGCCTGCAAATGCCACCGGCAGGCAACTTTTCAACAAGTCTTTGGTTTTGCTTTGCTTTTTTTTAAAAAAAGGTAAGTACATCTCAGCCCCTAAGCACATGGTAGGTGTCCATGCCAGTGGTGTGTGGGTGTTTACGATGCTTTGTGACAACCATCCATCCCCATCACCTCCAGGGGGACCTCCAGCCACTCCCTGCACTCTTCAGCCGCAAATCTATTTCTTGTCTCTGTGGACTTGCCCAGTCCAACATTCTATGACCAGGCTGCCTTGAACTCATCTCATAGAGAGGCTCTTGCCTTAGCCTCTCAATTACTAAGATTAAAGGTGAATGTTAAGGGGCTGGAGAGATTGCTTAGTGGTTAAGAGCACTGTCTGCTCTTCCTAAATGGACCTGGGTTCAATTCCCAGCACCCGCATGGCAGCTCACAACCGTCTGTACCACCAATTCCAAGGGATCTGACACCTTCACACATAAAATAAAATTAATAAATTACTAATTTTTTTTAAAAGGTGAATGTTACTACAGCCAGCATGCTTTAAAAATGTAGCATATTTGTTTATTGTGCATGCGTGTATGTGTGTGCGTGTGTGTGTGTGTGCCTGTGTGTGCACAGGAATACATGTGCTGTGGCATGCGTGTGGAGGTCAGAGGAGACCTTTGTGGAGTTGCTTCTCTGCTTCCAACTTTACATGGGTCTGGGAATGGAAGTCACTCAGGTTGTCAGATGTGGCTGCAGCTGCCTGAAACCCACTGAGCCACCGTGTCTACTTAGCTGCTTCTGCTTCTTCTTTTCCTCTTCTTCTTCTTCTTTCTTCTTCTTCTTCTTCTTCTTCTTCTTCTTCTTCTTCTTCTTCTT